TGACCGCAAAGTCCCCCCTCACCTGTGAGTGACACCGAAGTCCCCCTCACCTCTGAGTGACCCCGAAGTCCCCCTCACCTTGAGTGACCCCGAAGTCCCCCCTCACCTCTGAGTGACCGCAAAGTCCCCCCTCACCTGTGAGTGACACCGAAGTCCCTCCTCACCTGTGAGTGACCCCGAAGTCCCCCCTCACCTGTGAGTTACCCTGTCCCATTGGAGGTGACCTGACCTCCCGTATCACATCTGTGAGGAATCCCAGGGTTTCCTACTCCAGAGTGAGCAGAGATGAATGTGGCAGCTCAGCTCTCTCTGGGTGGGACCCAGTCCTACCCCAGCTCACACCTGTGACTTCTCCCACAACCGGGAGTGGCCCCCAATCTCAGCGACTTCTGAACCCCACCTGCAAAGCCCTCCCAGACCTCCCTGCAAGTGACTCCCGCCTCCACCTAGGCACCACAGACTCTGCCTGCACAGGGTCCTGTCCTCCCTCTGAAAGCAATGCCCGTCCTCTGCTGTGAGGCATCTCTGACCCACACAGCCCAGTCCCCATCCTCAAAGATGTGCTCGACCCCACCCTCGAGGACTCCACCAGGGGTGGGAGTGGGCCTCCCTGCAGCCCTCCCCGTGCCCCTGTCCCCAATCTGCCTGACGAGCCTGTGCCCAGGTTTGCCGTGGCCGACACCGTGTACCGAGCACTGCGCACAGAGCGGCGGGACCAGGCGGTGATGATCTCGGGGGAGAGCGGGGCAGGCAAGACGGAGGCCACCAAGAGGCTGCTGCAGTTCTACGCGGAGACCTGCCCGGCCCCCAAGCGCGGAGGTGCTGTGCGGGACCGGCTGCTGCAGAGCAACCCCGTCCTGGAGGTGAGGGCGGGAGGAGGGGAGGGAGGCCGGTGCTGGAGGTGAGGGCGGGAGAAGAGGAGAGAATCCCAGTGCAGGAGGTGAGGGGGGAGGAGAGGAGAGAATCCCAGTGCAGGAGGTGAGGGCGGGAGGAGAGGAGAGAATCCCAGTGCAGGAGGTGAGGGCGGCAGTGGCTGCAGAGCGGGTTGGGGACGGCTGGGAGAGAATGCAGGCGTCCCGCACACCCCGTCCACTCCTAGGCCTTTGGAAACGCCAAGACCCTCCGGAACGATAACTCCAGCAGGTTCGGGAAGTACATGGATGTGCAGTTTGACTTCAAGGTACGGCGATGTGTCTGCTGTGAGAGGCTCCCATTAGGTGTGAAGCGCCTACTGTGTACCAGGGACCATTCCCGGTGCTGGAATTCCAAGAATCCTGCCTCCCAGGGTGATAGACAGTAAACAGAGAAATGTAGCGCTTGGCAGGAAATGAAACGAAGTAAGCGGTAGGGGGCAGTTGCGGTCGGGATAGGGTGAGCCTCGCTGAGAAAGTGGCGTTTTAATGAAGGTCTGACAGCTGGACAGGGTGGCACCTGTCTGTTGTCCAGCTACTCTGGAGGCTGAGGCGGGAGGGTCACATGAGGCCAGGAGTCCGAGGTTACCCCAAGCTGTGATCACGTCACTGTACTCCAGCGTGGGCGACAGAGTGAGACCCTGTCTCTAAAAAAATAAAAAATAAGCCAGGCGCGGCGGCTCACACCTATAATGTTGGCACTTTAGGAGGCCAAGGTGGGTGGATAGTGAGGTCAGGAGTTCGAGACCAGCCTGGCCAACATAGTGAAACCCCGTCTCTACTAAAAATACAAAAAATTAGCCAGGCGTGGTGGACGCCTGTAATCTCAGCTACTCAGTAGGCTGAGGCAGGAGAATTGCTTGAACCCAGGAGGCGGAGGTTGCAGTGAGCCAACATGGTGCCACTGCACTCCAGCCCAGGTGACAATGCTACATTCTATCTAAAAAAAAAAAATTAGCTGGGCGTGCCAGTGTGCACTGTGATCCCAGCGACTCAGGAGGCTGAGGTGGGAGGATGGCTTGAGCCCAGGCGGTGGAGGCTGCCATGAGCTGTGACTGCGCCACTGCGCTCCAGCCTGGGCGATGGAGCAAGACCTTGTCTCCAAAAAACATCACTGTGACTGCTGCTTTGGGAGATTGGGAGCAGATGAGTGGACGGTGGGGAAAGCAGGCTAAGCGGGGAAACCGGTTAGGAGGCTGATGTCATCGTGGAGGTGACGGTGGATCAGGCCAGTGTGGTACAGTGAAGTGGTGATTCTGGATGTTTTAAGGGTTAAGGCAGCAGGATCAGCTGCTTGATGGTTGGACATAGAGTCTCTAAGGAAAACAAGCTTCCAGGAGGATGACCAAGGCCTTGGCCTGAACAGCGAGAAGGATGTGGCCACCACTGGCTGCGACGGGCAGGCGCTGACGGGAGGGTGAGGTGTTCCGTTTCAGGGCTGTTGAATTTGGGGTGCCCGTCAGGCATCCGGACGGAGCTGCCAGGTGGACGGACTGGCGTGTCTCCTTTTCCTAGATGAAGTAGCTGAGTCCAGCGTGGGTGGCGTGCCTGAACCACACAGCTCATGACAGGGCTGGAACTGGAGCCCAGGTCTGGCTGACGGCAAGGGCCAGGCATGCAGGACAGAAGAGGGCCTTTTCCCTGGTCCCCCTGACTAGGCCCCATGCCCTGCCCTGCCCACAGGGTGCCCCCGTGGGCGGCCACATCCTCAGTTACCTCCTGGAAAAGTCCCGAGTGGTGCACCAGAACCACGGGGAGCGGAACTTCCACATCTTCTACCAGCTGCTGGAGGGCGGCGAGGAGGAGACGCTTCGCAGGCTGGGCTTGGAGCGGAACCCGCAGAGCTACCTGTACCTGGTGAAGGTGAGCGGCTGGCAGGCAGGGCAGGCGCCACCCAGGGGTCCGGCGCCAGGGCTGGCCACCCATCTGTGCCTTCCTCCAGGGCCAGTGTGCCAAAGTGTCCTCCATCAATGACAAGAGCGACTGGAAGGTCGTGCGCAAGGCCCTGGCGGTCATCGACTTCACGGAGGACGAGGTGGAGGTGAGGCCTCTTCCGGGACCTCCTTTCCTCCTGCCGCACCCCGCGTCACCTTCTTTCTTCTTTTGAGATGGAGTCTCGCTCTGTCAGCCGGGCTGGAGTGCAGTGGCGCATTCTCAGCTCACTGCAACCTCCGCCTCCAGGTTCAGGGGATTCTCCTGCCTCAGCCTCCCAAGTAGCTGGGACTGCAGGCACCTGCCATCACGCCCAGCTGATTTTTGTACTTTTAGTAGAAATGGGCTTTCACCATGTTGGCCAGGCTGGTCTCGAGCTCCTGACCTCAGGTGACCTGCCCGCCTCGACCTGCAAAAGTGCTGGGATGACAGGCCTGAGCCCCCGTGCCCGGCCCCCGCAGAGTCACCTTCTACCTTTAACGCCCTTTCCCACTTCAGCCCCTTCTCTCAGACCGTCCCCCCACCCCTGCGTGGCCATCGCTGGTTGCCCTCCTGGGGCTCTCTGGCCCCGCTCACCCCACCCGCCCCCAACCTGCTCCCCCAGGACCTACTGAGTATCGTGGCCAGCGTCCTGCATTTAGGCAACATCCACTTTGCTGCTGACGAGGAGAGCAATGCCCAAGTCACCACCGAGAACCAGCTCAAGTATTTGACCAGGGTGAGTGGGGCGGGCGGGGGGGGGGATGGTGGGGGCGGGGGTGCACCCTCACCTCACCCTCACCCTGTGCCCTCGGCAGCTCCTCAGTGTGGAAGGCTCAACGCTGCGAGAAGCCCTGACGCACAGGAAGATCATCGCCAAGGGGGAGGAGGTGAGGGGGGAGGGGAGGGGAGGGGATGAGGAGGAAGAAGTAAGGACAGGCCTTTGCTTCGGGTGTGGAGGTGTAGGTGCTCCAGGGCACCCCCCATTCCCATCACTCCCCTTCCCCGGTCTGCTCCCTGGGTCCGCTCAGCAGTGCTGGAGGGACATGAGGAAGGCGGCGCAGAGTAGCACAGTGAGAGCCGGGCACAGTGGCTCACGCCTGTCATCCCAGCACTTTGGGAGCCCGAGGTGGGTGGATCACCTGAGGTCAGGAGTTCGAGACCAGCCTGGCCATCATGGTGAAACCCCATCTTTAAATAAATAAATAAATAAAAAGGAAAAAAAAAGAAACCGTGTCTCTACTAAAAATACAAAAATTAGCTGGTCGTGGTGGTACGTGCCTGTAATCCCAGCTACTTGGGAGGCTGAGGCAGGAGAATTGCTTGAACCTGGCAAGTGGAGGTTGTGGTGAGCCGAGATTGCACCACTGCACTCCAGCCTGGGCGACAGAGCCAGACTCTGTCTCAAAAAAACAAAAATGAAGCACAGTGAGCTGGCCAGGGTCACACAGGAAGAGAGCAGCAGACCCCCGCCTTGGGAATGAGTCCTTCTGTCCCTCCACACCTTCCCACTGGGGTCCCGCTGCCAGCACCCCTCCCCACACCACAGGCTCGCTGGAGCTGGGGGTGCAGTGGGGACGGCTCCCTCGTCTTCTGCCTGAGCCTGGGGGAGGCGGGTTGCACAGGCTCGGTGGTGTTCCTCTCCTCACCTCACGCCTCGCCCCCAGCTCCTGAGCCCGCTGAACCTGGAGCAGGCCGCCTACGCGCGGGACGCCCTTGCCAAGGCGGTGTACAGCCGCACCTTCAGCTGGCTGGTCGGGAAGATCAACAGGTCACTGGCCTCCAAGGTGAGGGTTGGGTCTGGGCTGCTTCGAGGTGGGAGGGAGGCGGGGCCGGGGCTGTGGGTGGGCTGGCAGACATCGCTGGGGCCACGATGTCTGCCATCATTTGGTGGGATGACTCCCTAGGATGTGGACAGCCCCAGCTGGCGGAGCACCACCGTTCTCGGGCTGCTGGATATTTACGGCTTTGAAGTGTTTCAGCATAACAGGTCAGTGCCGCCTTCCCCGGTCCCCCCTCCTCCCGGGTCTCCCAGCCTGGTCCCTCTCTTCTGTCCCCCAGCCTCTGATTCTTGCTCTGGGACTGCCCAGCCAGCCGGAGGCCGGCTCTGTGTTTTGTACCGTCTGTGCTCAGGGGCCCCATCCTGCCTTCCGCCCCTCCTGGTCCTCTGTGCCCTCTGAGCCGCGCTGGGCTCTTCTCTGTCCTCACAGCTTTGAGCAGTTCTGCATCAATTACTGCAACGAGAAGCTGCAGCAGCTGTTCATCGAGCTCACGCTGAAGTCGGAGCAGGAGGAGTACGAGGCCGAGGGCATTGCGGTGCGTGCAACCTGGGGGCGCTCTCCGTGGCACAGCCTGGGGGTGCTCTCCGTGGGCACAGCCTGGGGGCGCTCTCCGTGGGCACAGCCTGGGGGCGCTCTCCGTGGCACAGCCTGGGGGTGCTCTCCGTGGGCACAGCCTGGGGTCGCTCTCTGTGGCACAGCCTGGGGGCGCTCTCCGTGGCACAGCCTGGGGGTGCTCTCTGTGGGCACAGCCTGGGGGCGCTCTCCGTGGCATAGCCTGGGGGTGCTCTCTATGGGCACAGCCTGACGGGAGGGTGCTGGGCCCCCACAGTGATGCCTCATTCCCTGTCCCCCTCAGTGGGAGCCCGTCCCGTACTTCAACAACAAGGTCATCTGCGATCTCGTGGAGGAGAAGTTCAAGGGCATCATCTCCATCCTGGTGAGTCCTCTGCTCCTCCAGGTTGGAGGCTGGGTGGAGGGAGTCCCCCAAGACCCCTTTCTCCTTCCTGTCCAGGCTGGTCCACAGAGGGCCGGAGTCAGGGCCTGGCCGGGCTGTGAATGGTGGGTTGGAAGCTCCCTGCCGAGGCCCCCTGCAGATCCACCCCTCCCTGTGTCTGTGCCTCCCAGCATGGTGCCCCCATCTTCTCTGCTCTCCGGCCCCACCCCCACACACCCCTCCCCCGTGCCACACCCCCCAGGATGAGGAGTGTCTGCGCCCTGGCGAGGCCACAGACCTGACGTTCCTGGAGAAGCTGGAGGACACCGTCAAGCACCACCCGCACTTCCTTACGTGAGTGGGGCTGAGGGCGGCTGCAGCAAGGCTCCCGTGGGGCAGGGCCTACGGAGCGCGGGCGTCCCTAATGGACGCAAGGGGTGTCCAGAGAAGGTGCCGAGCTAAGGACCCCTCACAAGCACCCAGAAACAGAAGCTTAGCCAGGCACGCTGAACGCCTGGAGTCTCACCTGCACAGGAGGCTGGGGCCACAGCTTCCCTTGAGCCCTGAGTTTGAGGCTGCAGAGCGAGGACCTCCAGCCTCGGCCACGGAGCAAGATCCCATCTCAAAATCTGCAAAAGACAGCTGTCACCACTGCACTTTGGGAAGCCGAAAGGGTGGATCTTTTGAGGTCAGGAGTTAAAGACCAGTCTGACTAACGCAAACCCTGTCTCTGCTAAAAATACAAAAATTAGCTGGGTGTGGTGGCTCACACCTGTAGTCCCAGCTACTCGAGAGGCTGAGGCAGGAGAATCACCTGAACCCGGGAGGCGGAGGTTGCGGTGAGCCGAGGTCGCGCCACGGCACTCCGGCCTGGGCAACGAGAACAAACTCTGCCTCCAAAAAAAAAAAAAAGACGACGCTAGTAGGTTTCCTCCCTATTATTTTTTGAGAATGAAACTTGCTGAGATTTTTTAGCTTCCTTATTTGGAAATTGCTTTTTATTGAAGGAATCCCCTAAAGTGGGGAGAGGTAGAAACGGGAACCAGCGGCCGGGCGTTCCGTGCGTCATTGGCGAACCCGAGCTGTTCTGTAGGGAGCTGTCCTGCTGTTCCTGCATCTCACCAAGACTCCACGGGCAAGTCCTTGCCCCAGGTCATCTCTTATCTGGGCTGCTGAGCTGGGCTCAGTTCCAAGGCCGTTGAATGCCAAAGCCATACTATTTTTGCATAATATTGTATTAAAAACTTGTTTCTGGCCAGGTGTGGTGGCTCACGCCTGTAATCCCAACAGTTTGGGAGGCCAAGGCAGGCGGATCACCTCAGATCAGGAGTTCACTGGCCAACATAGTGAAACCCCGTCTTTACTAAAAATACAAAAATTGGTCAGGTGTGGTGGCGCGCACCTGTAATCCCAGGTACTTGGGAGGCTGAAGCAGGAGGATCGCTTGAACCCAGGAGGTGGAGGTTGCAGTGAGCTGAGATCGCGCCACTGCACTCCAGCCTGGGTGGCAGAGTGAGACTCTGTCTCAAAACGGAAAAAACTTGTTTCTGGGAATATCTCTGAGTCTATGCTGGTTTGGGGGCCACATGATTCATTAAATAATAGAAAACTTGTTTCTGGTTATAAAAATGATCCTGCTCGTTGGAGAAGCGTTAGAATGTTTGCAAAAGCCCCGTGAGCCTGTCGGCCGTGGTCCCTGGCTGTCAACAGCGCCACGCTTTTCCCTCCGGCCTTTTTCTATACGTTTTTTTCCATAGTCGGGAATTTATTGTGTATAAGGCTCAGGGCAATGCTGTATCCTGAGTGTTTTCCTGCAGCATCAAACGGAAAGTTTCCTCAAAACCCTTCCTGCCTTGGCTCTGGCCTTTGCCCTGGCCTTTCGGGGCCCCAGGCCAACCCCAGGTTTCTGCTGGAAACTCAAGGCTACCACCCATCTCCACGCTTCTTTGTCTGTATCTCTGGTTACTGCCTGGAATAGTTCTTAAAAGTAGTAAATGGACCAAAAGGTATAAACACGCCTCAGACTTAAGTACTCTCTCCAGGCGCAGATCCCATTCTGAAAGGCAGCGAGCAGCTCCCCACCTCCTTGCGAACAGAGCCCGAAGCAGCTCTGGCGGTTGGGAGGCCCAGGCCCCGGTCCTGGCGCTGTGTGGCCCTGGGCAAGGCCGTCTACCTCTCTGACCCACTGTGGTCTGCTCTGCTGGGGGAGGCTGCTGGCACTGCCTGGCCTCCCACACAGCACAGGGGTTGCGACCCAACCCTGGGGTGCGCCTACTCTTTGCTGGGCGGCTGGCTCCTGCTCCTGAGGTCCCTCTTGCAGCCCAGCCACCTGCAGCTTCCTCCCCGTCACCCCAGGCACAAGCTGGCTGACCAGCGGACCAGGAAATCTCTGGGCCGAGGGGAATTCCGCCTTCTGCACTACGCTGGGGAGGTGACCTACAGCGTGACCGGTGAGGATCCTGGGCTGGGTCCCCACAGGGGCCGCAGGGAGGCCCTGTCTCACCTCACACGTGCTCTCCCCTCCCAGGGTTTCTGGACAAAAACAATGACCTTCTCTTCCGGAACCTGAAGGAGGTGAGGGGGACCTGCGGTGGGGGCCAAGGGAGAGGGGGGGTTGCCCACAGCTCTGCACCTGTGTCCAGGGGCCTGTCCCTGTGCCCCAGCCTGACCCCGGCTCTGCCATACAGACCATGTGCAGCTCGAAGAATCCCATTATGAGCCAGTGCTTTGACCGGAGCGAGCTCAGTGACAAGAAGCGGCCAGAGACGGTGAGGAGGGGTGGGACCGGGTGTGGGTGAGGGCTGAGCAAGCCTGAGAGCTGGCAGCATGCGTGTGAGCCCGTATTGGTGCCCGTGTGCATGTCTGGGGGTGTCTAGGGGTCTGCTTCTAGGTGCCTCTTTGCCTGTCTTTTTTTTTTTTTGAGGCTGAGTCTCGCTGTTGCCCAGGCTGGAGTGCAATGGCACAATCTCAGCTCATTGCAACCTCCGCCTCCCGGGTTCAAGCGATTCTCCTGCCTCAGCCGCCCAAGTAGCTGAGATTATAGCCTCGCACCACCACGCCTGGCTAAGTTTTTGTATTTTTAGTAGAGACAGGGTTTCCTCATGTTGGCCAGGCTGGTCTTGATCTCCTGATCTCAGGTGATCCGCCCGCCTTGGCCTCCCAAAGTGCTGGGATTACAGGCGTGAGCCTCGGCACCCGGCCCTGTCTTCCTGCTTTTGCATGTGCTGTGTCTGTAGTGGGGCCGTGTCTCTTAAGTGGGGGGCTGTGCTTGTAGGAGAGTCTGTGTGTGCTCCTGTCTCCATGTGGGTGTCCGTATGTTGACACCTGCCTCTGTGTGGGCACTCTCATGTCCACCCACTCAGCTGACATTTATAGTAGACGCTGCCAGGCACCGGGGGGTGCACCTGCAGCCACGTGCACAGGGTGTTCTTCGAACTTAGAATAGGAACAGCAGACAGCCCCGGGGGTGGAAGGGGTGAGGGCTGGGGGGCTCCCTGGAGGAGGGAGCATTGGATATCACTTGAGAATGTCAGATGAACCTATAGTGAGGGCCCAACCCAGACACTCAGAGAGTTCGAAAAGGTCAGGAGCTGCGCTGGAAAGCGATGGCGTCAAGGAGAGGGATTGGGAAAGGCAGGCGTGGCCGCGGTGCCAGAGGCAGGGAGAGCTCCAGCGAGCTGGGGGCGGAGGGCGGTGTTTGGGCTTGGCAAGGAGAGGATCAGGGCAGCCCCAGGAAGAGCGGGGTCGGTCGGTCCGCAGGGAGGTGGAGGCCAGAGCGGGGTCCGTCGGTCGGCAGGGAGGTGGAGGCCAGACTGCTCACCAGGGAGGGCATGCAGGCGCCGTGTCACCCGCGGTCTGGCTCCCTGGGCCCTGCCCGCTGCTGCTGTCCACCCCACCATCTCCCGAAGTGCCCACATCCTCCTTGTGCTAGCATCTCCCTGCCGAGGATGCCTGCACACCCCTCTGGCCCAGGCCTCTCCAGCAAGCCACGGATCCTGTATCTCTTCCCTCTCCACATGGCCTCAGGCACCCTGGACCCCACTGGTCTATAACAGATGGGCCCTTGGTCTCTTCTCCAGGCTTCCTCCTTCTCTGTCCCTAACTCAGGACAGGGATTACTCTCCACCCAGTCCCCCAGGCCAGAAACCTGGGTGTCATCCTGGTCCTTTTTTTTTTTTTTTGAGACAGAGTCTTGCTCTGTCATCCAGGCTGGAGTGCAGTGGCGCGATCTCGGCTCACTGCAACCTCCACCTCCCAGGTTCAAGTGATTCTCCTGCCTCAGCCTCCCGAGTAGCTGGGATTATAGGCACCTGCCATCATGCCCAGCTAATTTTTCTATTTTTGTAGAGACAGAGTTTTGCCATGTTGGCCAGGCTGGTCTCCAACTCCTGACCTCAGGTGATCCGCCCACCTTGGCCTCCCACAGTGCTGGGATGACAGGCATGAGCCACTGCACCCTGCTCCCTGGTTCTCTACTCTCCTGCCTCCTTCATCCAGCCGCTAGATCTTGCTTGAGTCCTTCTCAGCAACTTCCCTCGGCTCTGGCTCCTTCCTGGTGGGATTATAGGCGTGAGCCACCGCGCCGGCCCTCCCCCTCATCCTGTAACGTTTCTGGCGCTCTCAGAACCCCCAGGGATACACCTGTTTATTCACCAGCCGCCCCGGGTTGTGGGTCTTTGCTAAGTGTTTCTCCCCCTGGCCTGAGATCTTCCGGGTCAGCAGAGCAGTTTACCCCATCATAGCCTGAATGCATAGCATGGGACACGCTGTTTGGGAATGCAGCCCTGGACTTCTAGAAAGAAAAAGAAGGGAGGTGTTGCAGTGGGGTTGCTGGGAGACCTCAGCAGGAGTGTGAGGCTGGAGCACGCCTTACAGCCGAGGTCTCTCGCCCAGCCAGAGGGGTCTGGGGTGGAGTCCGGCCCCTTCCTTTTCTGCGGGGAAGGTGTGGTGGGAGGAATAAGGCCAGGTGGAGTTAGGGGCTGCCGCTCGGGTCCCCAGTCGGGGGAGTGGGGTACTCGCTGCTGGGGTCATGAGCTTTAGCCCAGCTCCAGCCAAGCTTCCTTGCCTCCTGGCCTCCCAGGTCGCCACCCAGTTCAAGATGAGCCTCCTGCAGCTGGTGGAGATCCTGCAGTCTAAGGAGCCGGCCTATGTCCGCTGCATCAAGCCCAATGACGCCAAGCAGCCCGGTAGGCCTCTCCCGCCAGGGACTTCGGCCCAGCGTCCCCTACAGGCGACAGGCGGTCAGTGCCGGCCACTGACCATCCCCTCCCCAGCTCTCTGACAGCTCCCCCCTCCCC